CACACACACACACACACACACACACACACACACACACACACACACACACGTGATACAAAAAAGACGACGGCGATTCCGTTATGCGTTAAGAACGTAAGAGTGGAATTATGGAAGTAAATGAAATGATGGACAACGACTTTGTGATGATTATTGGTCTCGACTTTGCTCAGCTTACCTTACACTTCAGTTTCCGATCTCCAACTTCCGGACTGACACGATTTTTAAAAACACAGCGGGATTGAGAAGAGAAAAAAATCCAAGCCTCAAAAACAGTTCACTGTCCTCAACAAAGAAAAAAAAAAACAGGACACGCTGCCGTGATGTGGTCGCGTGATTACTAACCTTTTTAGACGACTCGACGCCATGACGACTCTTTTTTTCTTTCGCGGCAGGCTTGGTCTTCCAGAACCGGAGTGCAGCCAGTTGAAACCGTACGGTCTTGTCGGGCACAATGCTCACGCGTCGTGCACTTTCCTTGGACGTATCTGACCCATATGGTGGCCAGAATGCGAGTATAGCACTTTAATAAATTGGTCACAATTGCACTTTCCTTCACGTATCTTACCCGGATTGAGGCCAGAGTCACTCCAGAAAACACCGGGTGCCTATAGTCCTTATAGATTGACAGACAGCGAGGAGACTCTATCAGGCTAGTATCAGCTGATATGATTATTATATAGCCAACCTGTGTTCTCTTTTTAGACTTATAGTCAACCTGTGGAAGAGCACACTTCGAAGTTCGTACTAAGAGCTATATAACCATATTATGTACTAGCCACAATCTCATATGAAACGCAATGGCCGATTCAAAAGCTTTCGCCGCTTCAAAATAAAGAGAAAAAAACTTCCGCCGGCGAGTTGTCAACTCCCCCGCCCCCCTTCATAAAAAAATGAAAAAAAAAAACAGAGGTGCGGCTTCGCTGTCTTTTCTCCCTCTCTGCCTACGGTTCACATTCACAGAGCAGTTCTCTATGTGACGATATGTATTGTATATGGATATGGTGGATATGGGCCTCGTTCCACTAGTACTCTCTACTCTCTACAGGCACAAAAGGCAAACGTTACGGCAGGGTATATTCCCAGGTTAAAGGGGAAGAGTCTTTATTTATTATCATTTTGCACATTTGGCGAGTCGTGGAGCGAGGTCAAATACCGTAAATCATGTACCGTCCTGGGCAAGCTTGGCGCCCACCACCTAGAGAAATGCTGATGGTGGTCCCCCCCAGTTCGCAGCCAAAAGTTCGCAGCCAAAAGGCTGCGCTTAGTGCCATTGTCTTTTTGTCATTGTCGTCGACCGCAATGAAGCTCTGGCGGGGTGATTTCGGGCTTTCGAAATTCACGTGGAAGGGTTTGGTCGCCCGCAAGTCTAAGACCGGTAGGCTGGGTAGGTCGTGCGTGTCCGTTGCGGTCCGCGTCCACTGTTTCCTCTTTGGGAGGAAGGGCGGACGAGATAGCGAGGGGGTTGTCTGTTCTTTTCTTTTTCGCTTTTTTTTTTTTTTCCTTTTTGTCCTTTCGCAGAAGGGCATCGCTGGGAA